AAAATTCTGGCATGCATTGGAAGTGTTGTTTTTCTTCTGATTTTTTTTCATTTCTTTTACAATTTTCTGCCTCTGTTTTAACGTTTAAAAATAATTTAAAAAAATAATTTTCTTCAGTAATCACACATTTTCTGCTGCGTAAGCTAATATCAATAGTTTCCAAAAAAAGCATTTGCTTCATTTGAATTAATTCCACAGTACGAATTCTCCAAAGCAGGTAATCTAAAGTTTCTATTCCAGAGAAATGTTGACAAGCAAATTAGCAATGTGCACTCGTTAAAGATAATGAATTGTGGCAACTGTGAATGAAATCTAAATTTTTGTAAATTTTCAATCAAATGAAATCTGCGAAATTTGCGCGAGACATGTATTGAATACCAGAAAATAATCTTTAGAAGATCATAAGGCATTCAATAATCCTCAAGTGCAAAACACTAGAGTGTTAAGAGAGCATCGTAAAACCTTAGGACGATAATAAATACATTCAACTCAGAGGTATTGGCACATAAATCTGGTATTTTGATTTCGTGATGGATAATGATGCAATGAAGATCATTAGTGTACAATTTGTTCCCCCTGAGCTACAACGTTACCATTATTACTTTGCGTATGGAAGCGTGCTTATTTAAAAAATAAAAATGCATATAAAACTGTATATAAATTTAAAAATAATTAAAAGAAACACGAAATAGCTGTAAAACGTGTATTTGCCTCACACGTCACAATTTAATATCCAAGATTGTTATCCACTACATTGCTTCTACTAATATATTTACTATGTGTATTGCATTCCCTTGAAACTTTCTAAAAAGGCTCACAAAAAGTATGTTCTACAAAGTAGTGGCCGCTGTTCCTGAAGGGCTCGAGGGCGGCGCCCTCCCCACAAAACCCAACCTAGGGAAAAGTTGCAGAAAGTATTAAGCTTACAATAAATCGACTGGAGAGAAATAAATAAGTCAATAAGCTAACAATAAGTATGTAATTTTATGTTAAGTTAGTAAACAGTCAGTAAACAGAAATAAGTCATAAGTCGTAGTCAATTGGTAAATAACTGGTCAATACAATAAATAAAATAAAACTGGCATAGTAATAAGTACATTAGGGGGTGAAGGGAAGGGGGGATCGAAAATGTAAGGGCAGAGGCGTTGGTGCGGACGATCTTCTGTGGCGCCGTTTGATTTCAGGTGCTGAGGAGGCCAAGCACTGGAAGGAGACGGCGGGACGCCCGCGCCAGAAAATAAAATAGCTAAAATAAACGTCTGATAGATTAGAATGTACTCGGCTTCTGACGGCAGGTTTTCCCCACTTCAGGGGTTTTTTCCTGAGCCGTACCTTGTGGTCCTTTTCCGCGGCTTTGATGCGATGGAGAGACCATTTGGGGTGAATACCAGAATTCGAAAGATTAGAACGCGAAAGGATGTAGGTATTGTAATGGCTTAAAGGCCTTCGGCCTAGCCACATAGGATCAAGTAAGCTAATTTTGTCTGTAATAATTACCTATTAAATAAAAAAAATAAATAAATCGACTTATTTAATTTGTGCATACCACCAGCGCAATTTTGAGGACGAATTTAGTTATAAGTGCCCGATTATGCGAAAGGTAAATATTTTTCGTCCGCCCGTAGCTGGAGAATGTGAGGCAATAGAAGCTTGAAGAAGAGACGAGGTTCTTAGAGTTGGGTCGGTGTAATGTGCTCCTATCAAGCATTTGTTCGGCAGAATTCTCGGCTATTAACTATGCTAAGAATACCGACCGTTTCTTCTGATTTCATAAATTGCTGTGTTTGCTGGAAATATTTTTTAAAACACCGTTATTTTCGCATGCGAAAAATTGTACCGTCCGTTATCAACTTAAAATTTGTCTGAGGCAAGGATAAAAATCTCGATATCTATAAAACTGCTGTACATGCCATAGTTTTCCTCGTTCAAGAAATGTTTTGAAGTGGAAAAATAATGTAAACGTGATAGTAAAAACATAGATACCGCCCTCCTAACTCCCTACCCACCGGCCGCCTGTACTCCAGAGTCGGTCTCTTACCATCGCAGTCAGGAAACGGAGTCTCTCTAGTTCTTCACTAATGGAGTGATGTTCTGCAGCTGTCATTGCATGTTCGTTCTGTTAACCTCAGTCTGTTTGAAAGATTTCAGAGTCTTTGGGTGGTTATGATGAAGGTTTTTGTCTTTGAGATCCCATCTTCTAATAAATAAAATAGGACGCTTTTGTGAAGACTTCACAGACAGAATGAACCATACGACATGTGATCGTGAGTCTTGGCATCTTTTTGGTTGCATGGATATGTTCTTTATTGCTTGCAACAACTCTGTGGCCATATTGGATTTTGTCTAAACCTTGTATGTTTAATTTCACAAAGAAAATTGTTAGGGGTGTATTTTCTTTTGCTCCTCAACATCAGGACAGAAGATGCAGTGGACGGTCATTAGTATTACTGTAATGGTAACTTATTCCCCCCCCCGCGTTTGGACATGTTTGTTTTTGCATGAACGCTCCTTACATAGTATTTTATTTTAGTGAATGATTAAATTACATATCACGTTGCATTCACGAAATACAGAGTACGAGAAACATAATCAAGAAATAAGAAAGCAGTTTCTAAAAATGTCAGCATAAATGAGTAGTACAATTATAGCTCGAAGTATCACATGTTGATTCAGAAAATAGTTTTTCCAAAATATATTCAATTTTCCTACCACTGTTGACATTCTGTAAATTTCCAGTACGATTTTTTACGTAAAGATCTTAACATGCTGTTTGAAGCAATGTAATAACATTGCATTCTTCATATATGATAACAAAGATTTTTGTAACCTCTAACACACGAGCTCTTAAGTAAGCTACGGCCATCAGGAGCTCCTCGCCATTCGAAAAAAAAAATTAGCATTTGCTACGGATTCAGTCACAAAGTAGGGCGCACAGAACTTCGTTTCCTCTAAGAGCTTCCACCTAACTGTTAATAATAATTACATAGTACAAGTTCGCCGTTTTCTCAGCTCATTTAGAAACAAAACGTAGGAAATGAGGAGACGTTAATTAAATTCCAGAAAAATCTCACGCAAACTTCCTAAATCAATGTTACCGTTCCACGTTCAACACCTAGAACGTTGGGAGAAAAGTTAATATTCCACACTTAATAAGCAGATTCAAAGAAGCAGACAGTTATAATGTTCTTTGAAGGCCAAAAAAAATGAGTGTCGTGATAATGATGATGATGATCATCATCATCATCGACGTCATTGGCGACATTGTCATTTTTCCTTTTTTCTCTTCTTCTTACTTCAATATAGTAGGCAGTCCATAGGTCTTCTAGCTTTTGCTTCAAAATTGACATGATGTACAAATTACTGGGTGCTACAACAATGTGTACAGAAATATAATAAGCAAAAAAATAAATGCTCGAAACTTTTGCAGTCGTTTTCAATGTGTATTAAAAACAATAATTGGGAAAAGGGTTGAATAGTTTTTACTTTTTAACTATAACCCAGCAATCGAAAAAAATAAAAATCTCACAATAACTGTTTTGAAATTTTTCGTGCATGTTCCAGGTTTTTACAACTTACACAAGACACAGAAAAAATTCAAAAATATTTTCTGCGTTTGAATGTAGAGTCGAAAAAATGTCAAAAATGTGTATTTTTACATTTTTATCAAGTATCAAATTTCACTTTACGATGAATTTGTTCATCAAATTTCGATATTTGGAAAGGGGCTGAATTCCGGATACAGCTCGCGGATGGACTATTTAAACATTTGTTTTAAATCTGCCCCAAAACACGAAAAACATTAAAAATACTTTGGGCTGTTTTGATTGGGAAAAGAGATTTACAAACTCGATTCTGGAGAGTCAACGCCGCCATCAGGTAATCAAAGTCGAGCCACAGAATATCTCGTTAATCATTGTTAATTCCTTCTAGTCCAAAGTCAATGAAAGTTCTTAAGCTTAGAATATCTATACCCAGGACAAGATGCGATGGGATGAAATATTGTTAATATTTGCACAAAGAGCTTTGCACAAATGATGTTCACGTGTGGAAATCTGTACAATTCAGAAAAAAACGAAAGAGAAAAGAAGCGCTTCAGACGCTAGTATTGAGCGCTTGAGAACAGTTGTACTAAATCTCAAGTCCACGGATAGAGAGGAAAACAGAAGATGAGTTAAGAAAAGCAGAAAATTAGTAAGACATGTGTTAATCTAGGTGTCTAACGTTTTAATTAGTTAAGCGAGTTTCTATCGGGAAGTTCTTGTTTTCCCGTAGCAACAGCTGGTGTCTCTATGCAATCGAAAGTCGCTCAAGTCATTAAAGCGTTAGACACCTAAACTATACATATCTCATTAATTGTTCCGAGGTATCAACATTTCTAATAACTTATTAATTGAAGACAGGAATAAAACAAAGTTGGATAACAACGGTGATAAGACGTCAGACGACGTAAATTGAACACATGTTCGAGCGAAATAGTGTAATAAAAGTACCTCTGGAAGGCAAAGGTTGGGAAGGGAGGAAGAAGGACCAACAGGTTGATAAGTCCTTGAGCCTTGTCCCGAAACTCTAATATTATTGATCATAGAAACAACGAAAAATTACCAATTAGAGCAGCTACCCGACAGCACACTCTTGACAGCAGCTAAATTCGACATTGCTATGCAGCTTGTGTTGAACATGCACCAACGTTAGATTTACTTGCATGTAAAAGATCCTCAAGCCTAAATGACGCCTCTGAGCTAAATTCAAATTGCCTGTTTCTCGCCCAAGAAATACCTCCTGTCTGTGCTAGTTGGTGAAAGGAGCGTAGCGAAATTTGCGTGGTCAGATGGAAGAGCGGGCCTGATGGCCCGAGTCTCGCCACGTAAAATAAGGCAAATTCAATTCAATTCAATTCAATTCAACATCGCTACGTCAAGACGCGAACCCTAGGATCTCCCGTTCAAATATCACGTAGCACATGCTCTGTGCGGCAGACATTTTTCCAGAAGAAGACTTACCTAACATGCCGACCGGGAACTGATAGGGCGTCTGCAAGTTCTCGATCACACTCTGCGTCACCACCCACACGTAATTCTCGCCAGTGATCTTGAGCTCCCTGGCAGCCGTGAGGATCCAGATGGCCTCCTCTCGCGTCGAGTACAGCAGCATCACGCGAGACTCCGAGTTCACTAGCTCCATCAAGTCGCCGGCTTTCGTCACCAAGACGGCATTCAAGATAGTAAACCTGCAAACAAAAAAATGCAATCGTTATTAATGTATAAGTAATGTATAAGTAATGTATAAGTAATGTATAAGTAATGTATAAGTAATGTATAAGTAATGTATAAGTAAATGTACAGCTTGTCCTCCCCTCTTAAAATGTTACTACTCTAAATGTATGTAAATTCAGTGGTTAGACGGAAGAGCAAGCCCTATGGCCTGAGCCTCGCCATTAATAAATACATTATTATTATTATTATTATTATTATTATTATTATTATTATTATTATTATTATTATTATTATTGGAAAATGATAAATCTGGACAATTTTTCGAGAAATACATAAATTATATATCTAATATAATTAAACAATAACAATAATGAAGTAACAATGAAATGTGTTTTAATTGCATTTTTATTACATTGATTTTCATACCTAACTTTACATAATAAAATACTACGAATTTCGCGATATTTCGCAAATAAATGTCAAATTCAAGCTTCTTTTGGGGCAATGAAGACAATATTTGTGTTGCATCTTCATGTTTTACACATACATTAAACCCTTCAGGAGTATGCTAAATTGTTAGATAAAATTTAAAAAATAATATATTCCGCCACAATGAAGTGGAAATTTCAAGATGAGAAACCATATTTCTGGTTATGATGCACTTTCACTGACCCAGTCAGAGAAATATTGATTTATTATAAGTTTTCAAAACCTTACGCATTTTTTGGAGATAGTGCAAGATTGCAAGCGATTAATATCTTCACATCCTCAAGTAGCTGTACGGCCCTCGCGAACGCCACAAATTGGATCCGTTGATAGACTAATGTATCCGGAACCTGGACTGCTATAGACATGAGTCTCATTAGTATGGTGCCTCTTATCCATGGGAAGGCGTACTTCCCCATTAAATGTTGAGATCCGGCGTTGACATATCATCGGGCTGACAGGGATTTCTCCTTCCAGCTATCTCCACCAGTGGGGCCTCGTCACAGCCGGAGCAAACTCTAAGTTTCCAACTGGTCGCGTAACATGTGTCGTAGTGTAGTGCATGCATGTGTGTGTGTGTGTAAGGGTATAGAATAATATACGGAAGAGGAATAGAATAAGGAGGTGCCGGCAGTCCGGATCTTCTCCGGCATTTGTCTGGTATTGATCATAGAAGCCACAGAGAGCTACCGATATCAAACTACTAGCAGCCGACCGCTAGAATTGTCTTCCAGACAGTGGTTGAATTCGTCCTGGCTATTGCCGCTAATCGTTTACAACTAATGTCGATAATCCGCCATCGTTGGGACTCGAATCTAAGACTTTCCGACTCGCTGCAGACTGAGCGACAATGCTGGCTCTAAGCTCTGGTTCAGCGGGTTTGATTCCTTTGATACTATAATTTTGTCTAAATTAATCTCTCATTGCAATATTTTAGAAGTTTAAACAGAATATGGTCGCAAAATGCTTTATTCTGAGCGTCTAGAACATGTTTACAACATCATTTTCAAAACTATCACTGTTTTTCGTTTTTGTGCCTTGTATATATTTATATTGTTTTCTTTTCATATTTACGCTAAAAAATCAATTGCACGTTTTTGTAATAGGTACTAGTACAGAATTGTTAAGATGTACACTATATGTGATGTTAAGTTATGTTTACATTTACCAGGTGCGTACGTCTCAGAGCTCGTATCCATGTTAAATATATCGACGGCGAAAGTGCCAATTCTCAAATCTCCAATTTTTTTAGCTTTCATGGGCATAAAATTCTTCATCTGGATTTATTGGTTAGGGGAAGATCGTAAATTGAAAATATTTCTAATGCAAAAAAAGAGTGTTTTTCAAACTCTCGTATTTCAAATGCTAAAGAAAAACGTATTTCAGGAAGAATAATGTACCATGTCTTGATTGCTACATATCATTGTAAAAAGGACGTATGCACTTTTCAAAAAAGACGAGGTTTTGATTGGAACTTAAATGATTACATACATTTTTTATTATAATTATTCATACATAAGGAGCACCAATGAGATGGTCAAATGATTGTCAAAATACTTAAGACACGTTTTGCGCGTGGTTCCAAGGAACCCTTCCCATCAGAACTACTTATTCTCTTCCGTGTCTGTTTACTTCATACTTTCCGTTCTCATTATGGAAGAAATAAACTAAAGTCACCTTGGACAATCCATTTTAAAAAGACATTGGTTAATATTTCTGACGTTGCTCTTCATCAAACCTTGTCTTTTGTTCACTGGACAACAAATTTTCACGTAAGGAGCCGTAAAAGAAATCACAGAGAGCAGCAAAAAATGAAAATTTAAACAACTTAATATTTTCTTCTTTTTGGCAGAAAAAAGATAATACTGCTGCAAGTGATATATTAGGGAATGTGTCTGATTAAGATTATAATGAATACAGACCGAAATAAGTAGCCCGTGAAGCAAGAAGTAAAGGCAAACGAGAAAAGTTATTTCGAAAATTGGAAAAAGTTAACGTTTTATTTCCACGAAATAAGAGACAGCAATATTTTCTGAAAACAATGTTTGTTGAAAAACAGCTGTTTAAAAAAGTTCAAATACTTTTTAGGAAAAAAAGAATTTATTTCACGTAATTTGTGTTTGAAATTTATGTAATTAAAAAATATTTTCTGAAAAAAGCTCCAATTTGTTTTACATTTTCTCTTCATATGTAAAAAGTGAGCGTAAAAAATAGGGTGCCCGTCTCATTTTCAGCTATCTTTCCGTTTTTTGAAAAATGCCTCAAGGTAACATTTCAAAACTGCAAAATTCTAGAAAGAAATGTTTGCCTCAGACAAACACTGTTGTAAGAAATCATCATTTTAAAAAAGGTCACGTACTTTTTTTGAAATAAAAAAAACAGTAGTTTTTTGTGTAATTTGCACTTGAAACGTACGCAATTTCTAGCCAACATGGTGGGTAGCGTGTTCCTTCAATTTTTATTTTTTAGTTAGTTTACTTATTCTAAACCAATTGCAATACGATTACGGAGGCGAGAGAGTAAAAATAATGGCAAATACGTTTATCGTCTTTCAGCAAGACAGTGACACTTTCTAAAATACTACAACTTGTGGAATTTAAAGCAGAGTGCACTACTGAGTGAAACATTTATACGAAAACGTCTTAGTTCACGATGAACCTAAAATAACAGAAGAGGACGAAATGACTATCAGAAAATAGCAAGAATTGCGTTTTTAAAAGGACGAGGTCATTTGAGTTTTAATTTCAACAATTTCAAAGAAACAATTATTGGCTGGACGAGAAACTAGCAACCTAACTTTCTGGCACGTAATAACTACGACTACGAGTACTTATAACGATTCGAAGTCTTCTGTCAATGATCTTCGAATAATTGCTTTATGTTCTTTCTTTCCTCTTATTAACCATATTTATTTGTTACGGGAGAAGAGGAGTGGAGAGTTGAAATACTGTCAGAGTCCTATTCGTGTCGGAAACATATCCAACGAAATACATAAGATGGATACATGGTTCCCAATAAATACCTAGGTGTATGCCATCGAAAAATATTTACTTCCTGGTCCGGCGTTTAACACGTATCTGCAACGACGCTATGCCGACGCACAAAGTTGACACGAGGCCTTTCGTCTCGGCGGCCTCACTGCTTTTTCTCTCCACGGGGCTTTTGCCGCTCGTCACGAATTTATAATCCTCTTACGCCCTAAAAGGAGAAAGGGAGATGGCGCTACCTTAAATAGGCGCTTCCAGACAACAAACAGTAGGTAACGACTACGAGAAAAAAAAATAAGTTGAACCGAGTTACCAAACACTTTAATCAGATCATAGACTGTCCTCGAATTGGGGCAATGCATTCGTATCTTTTATCAGTCAACAATTTCGCTATGGGAACAAGACGCTTTGTGCATGTGCTATTCACATTGTACATTTTTCGTATGTTTCCACGTGTAAAGAATAATAGAAAACTAATTCTGCAGATATAGAATTATTCGAGAGTTTGGGCATTGTCTCTCATGACCTTAGAGTCAGAAATGGTAATTTGGCACTCTTATTTGGCAACTCTAGTAGGATGTGTAGGATGTGGAAGTCCCATGAAATAGTACGAAGCAACGGCGAACTGAGGTACTTTCCAGTCGACAAGTTCCTGACAATTGTTTTACAGATAGAAAATTTTTATTTAATCTATAGTGTCGTTCACGTGCTGCAATTGTACAACATAGAGCCGTCACAGGCATTACTTCCTTTCCTAGAAAGGTACACTAAAATGTATTCGTCAAAAATCATCCCACCTTGATTACGATTGAACTACAGAAGATAAAATTCGATTCACTATCCGCACGTTTTTTGAGCTCTCCTTATAGATCCCGAGATGTAGGTTGAAATTTGCTTCGCAAAATAAAAAAAAATCAAGTCTGTTTTTTGTTCACGGATGCAAGGAAGTTTTATTTTACAGGTGAGCGAAAACTTAGTTTTCAAATGTTGCTAACCTCGGTCTGCTGGTAGTTTTATTCGCCATTCATATGTCTCGTAAAAGAGTGGGGAAGAGATTCTCGAACTATAGAAAACGTGCGTAGATTTTACCTATACTTTTTTCAAATCCTAATCTTTGTAATAAATTGTAATATTTGGTATTTAGTTGAAAGTCAGCACGCGAGCCATTTCACAGCTGCTCGCAACTGCACCTGTATTCATTTAAACAAGACAACCTTAAAATTAGTCAAAAAAGTAATACCTACATGATACAGATTTGTTTGTCTGAAAAGGCTTCTTAATTCTCGAATAATTTTAACAGTACGTGTCTCGTGATTTCTATTGCATTCTGTTTTTTTAGATTACAATTTTATTCTAAAAAACCCTTTCAAACTTTTTGTCCCTTATGAAATACAGTTACGACGCAAGGGATTAAACACAACTCGATCACTTTTACGTGTGCTTCCAAGATTTCCTCCCAATGGTGGACAGTTAGTTAAAGTAAAACCTCTCCTAATCGGACACATTTTATCGGAATAGCGTTTTAAAGAAACGATCGGCCAAAAGAAAAAAAGGAGGAGAATCAGTACGGTCCATCATTCCTATCTGCGCAGACGACGCTCTTCCTAAAACTAGGGAAGATGATGGAAGATTGAAGGTCAGACCTTGTGTACGGTTTGCAAACCACCTTGCCGCATGTTCCACCCCAACTATTCGGCTACTGCGTTCAGTTTACACAAATGCTTTCAAATGTCTCCAAATGCAGCCATTCAGCAAATGTAAAAATAGCACGAACGCGCACACTTACATTTGATGAGAAAGAGTCAGTTATGTGAGCAGAAACATTTTTATTTCACCTTGAGCTTTAAAAATTGGCATTGTTTTAATGAATATTTTGGTTATTGAAAATACTCCCGCTCCCATTAACAGAGTCCTTCAGTATTTACATTTACATATTTACATACTAATTTTTTAAACCAAAATAATACGTGAAATATCAGTATAGAAGGAATGGTAAATTGGACAGAAAATACAACATAAACATGTTTAAACGTAGATGAAGGCGTAGGCTTCCGCGGCCAGAGTCATGTGCATGATCTTGGCTGTCCGGGTGACGCAGCGTCGAAGGTTTGTGTGGCCGAAGTTTCGACCATCTAGTCGTGGCATTCCTTGGCATACCAGCCCTGAGGAAGACCACGACAAGATGGTCAAAACGTCGGCAACACAAACCTTCGACGCTGCGTCACCCGGACAGCCAAGATCATGCACATGTTTAAACTTAACTTATTTAACGTCCACGTATGGGTGCCATTTAGGATAAAATTTTACTGTATTCGGGGTATGAAACTTGATAACTATTGTTTTAAGTATTACTACTTCATTTTTTCGTTATTGTTTTAAGTACTACTATTCCTTTGCAATTAGTTTGCAGCATTACCCAGATTTCTGTTATGTTCTGGTTTTATTGGTACAAGGTATGATCATTAAGATAATTGAAAGAAGGGCATGTGGTTCACTTTATAAACCCCTCTCTCCAAGCTGCGTAGGGAAAAAAACAGTTCCGTTAAACGCATTGAATTTAATCAGCGTTTCCCTGTACACCAGAAAATCGCAAAAATCCCTCAAAAAACGGAGGTCTCCAGAGGCGATTGATCGTGGTAGATGGCGCGCTTGAAAATATCGAAAATCTTCTTACATCGCTCTCGGCGCCCTTAGAGAAGGGAGAGTGCGGGCGTGGCAGAGCGGTGATTTTCACAAGCGCATTATGCAAACGGGCGGCAAGCTTGAAAAACGCTACGCTGCCCGCCGCCCCCGCCCACCGCCTCCACCGCGCCCCTGCCTCCGCCGTCGTTTGTGCTTCTGCTGCAGACGCTACAGCTACGGCGTCAGACCCGTGGCGATGAGAGGGTTGATTCAGAAAAGGGCTGGTTTGTGTGGCTGCTAAAGCGAGGTGAAAGAGAAGACGTGATGTGGTATAAATGAGCAGGGGCGGGGAGGATGAGGTCAGAGGAGAGGGGATTCGAGGGAGGGTAAGACGGCGAAGGACAGAGAGGATGGGATTTGGAGACAAGTGATGGTGGGGACTCGTAGGGCCCAGAGACAAGAATTACGTAAATGTAAATTTGTTGCCTAATTTTTTCAGTAAAACGTAGTAAAGGTGTGGTTAGGTGGAAGAGCAATGCCTATTTGGCAGTGGTGTTCCAATAAATAAAGGCATAATAATAATAATAATAAATATATAATAATAATAATTAATAATAATAATTATTATTGTTATTATTATTGTTATTATTATTAATCTATTGTTATTATTATTATTATTGTTTTATTATTATTATTATTATTATTATTATTATTATTACTATTTCTTATTATAATTATAATTAAGGGGTGTTGAGAAAGTGATGGGACGGGGAGGAGCACGGGAAGTTTGGGTGCGGTTCAGACGCGCGGAGTAGAGAAATGGCGAGTTCGAATGAGTGGTGGATGAAGTAGGGTGAGAAGACGGAAAGAGAGAGGACAGGTACTGTTTAGGGCACGCGCAGGGGACTATAAATGTGGGCGGGGCTTGCATCGTGGCAGGGCCAGACGTTGGCCAGGGAAAACGGGAGGGGTAAAATACAATATATGGTGATGCCACCTGCTTGGCAACGGACAGTGGGGTACACACCACCGCACACTATGTGAGACCTTTTGCATGATCATTGTGGCATCTCGTCTTTAAATTTAAAATAAGGAACTGAACAACAAAAAATATTATACTTATTTTAATTAAGTGATAGGAGGATGAATGATGATGATGATGAGGAACAGGACGATCACAAATACCATCCATGCCCTAGGTTGGGTTCGAACCCGCGCTCCTTCTATCCGAGGTTACCAAGACACTAAACTACCTCTCACACTATTGTAACTTCCGGTAGCCTGCTCGGCTACCCGGAGTAGGCCGATATTGTTAGTAAAGTTCTGGCAACGCTCTACGTTTATGCTCCGTCCGAGGTCAGAGTGTGAACACCTGTGACTTTGAAAAGATACTGCTGATTGTTTCGTTAGAATAATAGAATAACAACTGTGACTATAGTAACTACTAAGTTGTAAATACGCCAGACTGAAAGGTTATTTCTGGTTTGGAAGTTCTGCTTTGCAGCACGAACGAGAGGCAATAGCAACCACAAACAGAGGCGTATCGCTGGAATTGGCTCTCGAGCCCAGTATCCTCAAAAAAATCTTCAACATTTCTCAACAATCAACCTCTCAATGAAAGTAATGTTCTTCAAATTTGAATGGCTGACCAGCCAAATCTCAGACACACGTTCATATTTCTCAACGCCGAATCTTAAAAAATTCGTTTCGTATCACGTTTGATAGACACTAGCTGTGGATATTACCCCTCATATGTTTCCCTAACTCCAAGGTGTCGCTTACAGGTGCGGAGGGGTGGAAAGATGGGAGAAGACGAAAGCATTAGGATTTGGCAAGTAACAGCGGGGGCACAAGGCGAGCAGTAATTCCGCCAAGGTTCGGCGTGAGAGAAAATCAGAGTTGGAGTTGTGGGGGTAGCGAAAGGGCGCCGCGATGCACCTCAGGCGAGCAAGAGAATTGGCCCTCTGATAGGAGTTCAGCGAGGACGAATCGGAGCATGCGCTCATGGATTGATGGGACGTCGGAGGCAAAGAGGTGGTTCAGGTTCGTTGGCTGTGATGAGGGGGAGAGCGGGGCGCAACAGAAGGATACTGAAAACGCGTTTCGTGGCTGTCCTCAGAAGTTCTCATGGCTGTTGTGGTTGACGGGATGACGATCACTCTGTCTTGTGTGTGCGCGAATAGTCAGACATGAGAGTTGGCTTGCGGCGATCGCGGGCACATGGAGAGGGCGGGACCGCGGTCTCCGAGGAGGAAGCGGTGGATATGCGTGGGTGTGAGCTCGGGCCGACTACGGGTGTGACGGCAGACGCACAGGAAACCTTATTTTCGCTACGTTACATAGTTTTAGACACCAATGAGTACACGCGAGCCGCTTGATTGCAGACTTAGATTGTGTAATATGTATTTTCTTCTGGCGAAATAGGTCTCGAATGCCTCTTGGTCACTGTAAAGAAGAACAGAAGCCTACCGCGATGCCTAGATAAAGCGTCGACGCTGTGACTACCCTCGCTGAATCCTCGACTCACTTTCGACTGGCGCTCCTCGGCCTTTGGGCCTTTGGCCACTTCCTCGCGGCCAAGATGTGTGCAGTGAAATAGTGGCTCACTCGTCCGACGCCCGCGCCCACGATGTTTGTCTATTCGACCTTGAGTACGCGCCGCCCCTATGCTGTCCAATACAAGGAAGCCATAATTTTACTAATCAGCCCTGCAATGTAGCTTTGGCTCTCTGGTTTGTACTGGCATTTCGTATTGGACACCGTCTGAGACGGCATCGGCGAACTCTCACGCGTAGCTAAACTCAGTGACGGCCTACGCCGACTCGAACCGGCCTCCCGTGGAAGCTCTATGCTCAGTAACGATTTCCAAATAATCGATACGTTCTTCGGGCACACTAATCGCAGATGTAGTCAAAGCGTTCGGAGTGATGTCGTGGACAAACGTTCCCACAATATCCACAGATGTGTATTCCGTTGATGCCGGGACGCACATGGCGCTTTTTAATATTCACATAAGCGCATTTCTAAACTAGTGTTGTACAAGAGGTAAGTATGAGAATTAACTTACTATTCTCTAAGATATGAAGAAATATCATCTGTAAACTGACATGGAACGGTTATACGATAATATTATAATATATATATAATTTACATAAATAGTAATCATAGTCACATTCTAAGTTAGGCTTTGTTAAATTATGCCGATAAGTTGATTCATGAGGGACTTATCTGAGAATGAGTATGTATTAAACCCTAATATGTAATTAATAACCTCTATGTAAACACTGCTAACGCAATCGCTTCTGTAGCGCCGGCACATCATCGCACAGTCGTATCCTATGCGCATCAGTAGAAGTATCTGGCAGCCGGGTTGTAATCTTGAAGATACGGATATCTTTATCATTCGGGATGTCAAGAGTCTATACTGCTCATGACACCTCAGTGACTGTGTGATGTAACGATTTCTATTGATCTGGTCACTTCGTTCTCGTCTCTGTTACCTAAGCACTCACTGTTGGTATCGCTGAATAGATTTTATACATATCTGCACAGTTGCAAGATCGTGTACCAACTTCATAAATCATTCTCAGAGTTAGTTAATCGGTAGTTTTAATTCTGGAAAAAAATCTCTCGTTCTCAACTCTCGTTAACGGTTCTCGCATGATAAGAATTTATTTCTCTTCTGTGCGGGTATTGCTTGATTTTATTGCTTTTAAATACGTTTTCAATATTTTTTTAAAAAGTTGAATGACAACGAAGCTATAATCATTTACATCAAGCAATTTTTAAGAGCTTGTACAAATGATTCTGGAGAACTCAAATAGCAATCGCCTTGCGTTTTTAAATATTGGAAGGGTAACCGCACAGTACGCGCGCGAAGCGAAAAGGACACTCATAGTATAGAGAGAGACTTGTAGCGTATGGGTAAGATTTATATGATGAAATATTTAAATCAAGGATTAGTGTAACTATAAATGTTCTTGGCACATGAATGTCAGTCAGTTATATAACTCTGAACTCAATGTAACTCGAAATCACTCGAATTTTTGGTTGAGATCATACAAGAGATAAAAGAATCATAATATTTAAAAGTCGCCGCGTTTCATTTTTGCCAAAAGAGCTGTACATACCTGTCACTCATTATGGAAAAATATCCGGTTGTCGGTAGTTATACACTGTAGGTGGAGAGAATTTCCAAGTTAATAATTCTGTAATCTCCCATTTGATTTCACGTCCTGTCTGTGGCAGTTCTCACAAAATAATATAGCATAAGTCTTTCCTTATCGACGAATAAGTCAATAAGTATAGACGCAACAACATTGAACTTTCAAAATACTTTCTCTCTACTCTGACATGATAGAAGCAAAAGAATGATTTCACGCTAGATGAGAAGATAGAGTTAGGAGTCTCCAACCTCTCTTTGAAAAAGATACATATTTTTCCTTCTTTATGCTAAGACGGCGGGATGTCCTAAGAAGATCGCCATCCAGTCAAAATGCGTGAAAATACGTGATTGTTGTGAGTTTATTTCTTGCGAATAAAAAATATAAATCAGTAATACTATTTATGAACTCATATCATTAATAGTTTCGGAATTTCGAGTTTCTATTTCGATATATTCGTACTATACATATATTAATTGTATACGAGGGAAAACAATTTTAATAGCAATATCCCAACAACAAAATTAATAAAAATGATGGAGAAATTTTTGGAATATTGGAATATGTCTCAAGGTTTCATGGAAAGATTACCCGGAAGGTATTAAATATCTTGTGTAAATAGTTTATGTGTAAATTCATAGAGGGGACGCTGTGATATTCATGCGATATAGGCATTTATTCTCACTGGTGCATAACTACTCATTGCTTTCAAATGTTTCATATATGTACACGGTGTTTGTATGATGTGATCAGACGGAACGAATATTGAGTCCATATTATCAAATTGACTGGAAAGTACTACTATGCTTTCAGACTGCCACAAATTTAATTTGCAAGTTAATTGCCTATTATGTAGTCCTTCTTCTGTGGCTATAAGTCCAGAGTCTGTGTAGCAGATAAAAAAGCGAGCTAGATGGGAAATATTCTTGTCTAGCGAATGCATATTTTGCACATATGTCTTTTTAAGTATAAAAGAGACTCACATAGAGTAACGCTTGATCATAGGTGTTCAGATCGAGTTTTCCATCCAGTCTAGATTAACAGGCACAATATCGTTTAGTTCGATTTCTTATCTCTGCTCGTGTTGGACGTTCAGATATTATCCACAGGAAATTCTTTTATTTGAGCACGTGCTTGAGACAACTCATCTAGATAGTCATCAGCAGTCAACTAGTCACACTTCTGATTAGAAGATGGTAGACGTGATTTTTTCTGAATGGGATCTCTATACAATAGTTCTGGCACTGTTGGTATGCTTGTATAATCTTCCAGTAGCTCAACAAGACTATCAGAGTATCGTTAGTAGTAAGAACTCGCGAGGCTTCATTATCGCAAGGAATTGTTTTTCCTCTCAGAAATATACAGATGATGAAGAGGAGAGGAGACGATATTTTCTTATAGAATTAAACATATATGTATTTCCAAATGACTAGGCAATGTATACAGTTCGACTCTCTGTATGTGTTCGTTCCATTGTTTGGAAACTCGTGTACTTTGGTGGGGATTGGTGATGCGGGTGGGGGAAGGAGTGGTAAAGTGTGCCAAAGTAATGGTTGTAGTGTTTGTTGTGTATTTGGAGTAGAGGGAGTAATATGATTTAGGTGGTGAAAGGTACGTAGCTAATGGTTGTAGAGGTTGGGGCGCAGGAGGTGTGAAGTGAGTGATGAATGTATTTGATAGTCTGTGCTGTACTCAGGCGACGTATATAAAATGAGCACGTGAAGATTCTCTGGCGATGTACCCAATTTACTCAACTCTCTCTAGTGTTAAATGTCTCACCATGTGGTAAACTCTCTCCTTGCCATGTAGCTCACAAGATGTGACGTCTCCACAAGCAATCCATATCAGGCAGTCACACATCTATAAACACTATAACTTATGGTAAATCATGTTCCTTGCCGTAATTTATCTCAAATCGAGCGGGAGTAGCGCTGAGTATTACGTATTCCGACGTATAAGGGACACTCAGCAACTAGAGCGATTCTTCGTTACTGGGCAGCAGCGCTGATTAGGATCGACTGCTGCGCAGCGAAGCAGACCGCTTTCTCTAAATTGTTTGACACTCTCCAGTCTGGCTACTTTCAGGACATATAGCTATCGCGCTATTAATGTACGAATGCATGCTTCAAGAGTAAGGTATGTTTATTCCGCATCGGGAAGCATAAGAGGCGAGATTTGAGAGATCGGCACTAGATCGTGCATAGATTCAAAGGGTAGGAGTGGAATCATGTACATAAATGATAGATATGATTATATGATTAGATTGCATGTGATATTGATTAATGTAGTAATTGCTGTGATAGATATGATAGAGATCTAAAGGAAAGTAATTGTCACTGAGACACTTAGCTTGCAAGATTTAGATTAAGATGAGAATACAGACCTGAATTGTGATAGGAAGATATTATGAGAACGATACAAGTAAGATGACACGCTGGAATGCATGTCTGCAGAATTGGCAGGCACGAAGGCCAGCGTTGACTCCGACAGTGGAAGATAGCCTACAATATATAATTCGGTCTGTCACAAATTCAACGATAGTCGTACTGCTCAGACTAAAAAAAATGAGCTATGGTGGCAATGTAGTAGTCCAGATATGAAGTATATTTCGTCTACATTTCCGCAGTAGGATTACCTCTCTGGGGAGACATTCCATCGATATAACTACCAATGCATCGCCGAGCACGAGTCATGCCCGACTGACCTCGTCCTGCACCTCGCATCTCTGTGAATTCAGGAATCCATACAGCAAGGGGAACACCTATCACACTCAATCGCTTCTGTCAACGTAAGCACCGCGAATGCGCTACTCAGGTAGCACTTATAATGTAATTATAATCAAAATAAGCCAATATTTTACTTTGCTTAACCAATAATATTTACAACTTTAAAATACCATTCGGTCTCCTTATTTGTTCATGCCCAGACTCAGTTTCGCACGCATAACCTTAGCACTACGGCGTTTCTGCGTTCGATGTTATTTTCTGTTTGTAAAATTCTAGTTTGGTAATGTATTTCGTCTTGCCTGAGCTAGAGCGATATGTGAGAGAATTATCGAGTGTAATCGAATCTGTCAGCGTTCTTCTCACTGATAAGTGATATAGACAGATATGTTAATTGTGAGTATCGGACTATGTAATAAGATCGGTACTGTTTGGTTTAGATGTAGGTTTGTATCGGCACGTAGTATGTAGTGCACATTGCTGATGAGTAAGAGAGTATATATCATGATTTTTGCACGAAACAACAAGTGCTGTGAGTCAGTAGATGTTAAACTTTTGTTCGCTCTGAAACTTTCAAGTAGTCACATCGTACTATTAAAGTGAAAGTAGAGTGTGTAAGGCAGCATTCACAACGTTCTATGCGATTTACATAATACTTACTCTCTATATCTTATTCATTATAGTATGTTTGAGAATTTTAGGACATTTACTCATTATTATACAGATTTGCTTATATCCGTGATACACTACAAAATACACTAGAACTTAGAAATGATCAAAGTATCTCTCATCTAGACTCACTAAAGCGTATAGTGTGCACTTTTCTCATAGGAACAGCTTGTACACAATGTTTTGTAATACATCTCTAGTGTTATTCTATCGAATGTTAGAATGATAATGTGTGAATTATGTAAATATATCAAGTACATACATGTGTTTCAACCTAATTTGTGTTTCGCAGATGACTGCTAAAGGTCACAACGTCCCCGCTACTCTAGCTTCTCCGCGGCTCGCGCGACTAGATTCGCGCAAATTATTAATGAAATAACTTAGTGACTCACATTATTTCCGGCTATGTTTGTGGAGAGAGTGTCTGAGACTCAAGA